TAGTCATTTAAGCCATGGCTCTTAGAAATCAGTTAGATGATCAGAACCTTTTAGAATAATGAAGGTTTATTTAGGGTAAATGAATTTGAAGAATATTTTAAGACTCATGAGTATTAAAAAAAGAGTAAACATTTATGTGCAAGAATGTGGAACAGGAAGAAAAAAGTTTGTGCAAATTAACATTTCACACAATTGTTAACATAGCGTCTTCTTGTCATGAACTAGCTGAAGGAGTGAATCAGTTGATTTTCTGAGAATGTATGTAGTGATTTCATACTGTTTTTACATTTATTGAACACGTGAGAGTTTTTCTCCCTGTCTCCTGTTTTCACATACATTGATTCTTCTCTCCTAACGTAAATCATTCTAATATCCATTTTAGAATCCACGGAGTTTCTAAATCTTTTTTTAACATAAGTTTTAGGAAGCATCAGTTCCTCTCCTTTACCCACATTGTTCTCTCCTACTCAGGGGCCTTTGAACTACCTCTCATAGTTGAATGCTTTACCCGACCTGCTTTACCTAGCTTAATTGTCCTCCTGCTCTCAGCTTAAATATTATCTACCTCGGCAAGCCTCCGTGACTGCTCGCACCTGGGCTAGGTTAGGTCCAGTTAATGCACATTTCTTTCTAGTACCTGCACACTTGTAATTATTTACTTGTATTCAGTTGTTTTTCAATCTGTTTTTTCCCTAGTCTGTTAAGTGCTTAGAAACAAGAACTTCTTGTTGACTACTGTTAAGATATCTAGCACATTGCCTGGCCTATCTATATGTTAGGTGCCTAATAACAATAGTGTTAGCATATCTATTGAGAAGATAGGATATGTCTGAGGAGTAGCCAGCATTAGGCTAATAGACCTGGGAATAGAGAGAGGGAAATGATTCACAATTGTGCTTACTCATAAAAGGCCTGCTTCCTCATTTACCTTGCCCCTGGATGAATTCTTCAGTCTTTTGGTCAGTTGAAGGGAGGAAGGGAATTCAAGAGAGCTTTCTGTTTTCTTAACTTCTAATAATGTGTTTGTTAATTTATCGTCACATACCAATTAGGACAATGTCTGATTTTAGTTAATCTACATAAAATATAAGGATCCTATAAAATAAGTGTACAGATCAAAAAAATATTAAAAGCTTGGTTAATGAATATGAAGAAGTTTGTAGTTGTCTTATTTCAGTATAATTAGTATGACAAACAAGTATGACTTACTGAAACAAATCACTGCCTTTCTATAAGGTTGCTGAATTTTCAATTCTTTGAATAGAGCTGATTTGTATTCTATCACCTGCTTATTCTTCTCTGTATCACCCTTGTATTGACAGAAGGAAAGACATTTGCTGTTTATAATTTTAGCCCATGCAGTATCAACGTGGGGATTAATAAGAACCCCCCAATGCATGAGTTTGATGAGCAAAAATAATGACCTCACTTTAAAAAGTAAATTGTTATTTTTGAATCAGGCATTTTCCCCCTACTCCCCCACCGAGATTGGAAAGGCTTTATACCCCTAGATCAGAGTTGTTCAGCAGTGACACTGTTACATTTTGAGTCGATAATTCCTCTTTGTGGGGGCTTTTCTATGCTTTGTAAGTGTAGCAGCATCCTTTACTCACTAAATGCCAGTAGTACCCACTCCAGAGTTGTGAGAACAAAAGTCTCCATGGAGACAAAATCACCCCCAGTTGAGAACCACTTACTAAATCTTAAGTTTTATTGCTAAAGAATCTGAAAAGTTGTAAGGAAAATATTTTAGATCAAAAATTGGGCACATTAGGCAGCTATCCATCTGTTTTTCATGATTTTGGCAACTGCCTACACCAAACTTTACCTGAATCCCTTTTGAAAGGGTTAACAGACCTTAATTGTTTTTTTCTTTTCTTTTCATACCCTGACCCACCGAAATGTGTTTATTTGACTTTTGAGATCACTGGGGGTAGCATTCACGATAAGCCTAGGTTATGCTGTGGTAACAACTCAAAAATCTTGATATTTCATAACAACAAAGGAGTGCTTCTTGTATGTGCCACATTTTCCAAGTTGGCTGGGGGATCTGCTCCACATCTCTACACTAGGACCCAAGCTATTCGAGTTGTCACCATCTCAAACTGTTAGAAGAGAGCGTTCTGAAGGGTCTCATTTCAGCAAATAAGTTCTGTGACTTAGATGAAACATCTCATTTCCATTCATTGGCTGGCATTAGTCACATGGCCTCACCAAAATAAGAGAATGCGCAGAAGTGCAGTGTCCTGAAGGCAGGGAGCTGGAGTATTTGGTGAACGTTACTAAGCATTTTCACATGCACTGAAAATAGTGGCATTTGGGATCAGACTTGTATTTAAATTTTGACCCTGGCACACACCTTTCAGAACTCCAGTTTGCTTGTTACAAAATAGGAATAATAATATTTCCCTAGTAGGAGAACTAAAAAGATAAATGGGAAGGTTTAGATAGTATAGCTAGCATTTTAGCATATTCTATATATAGTATTTCTGATAATAATGGTTATTTGGTGGGTTTTTTGTTTTTTTGTTTTTTTTGTCTATATGTCACCTAGAAAGGAGGCAAAAGCATGATAGAGAGGAAATTAATCTCTTCTGGACAAGTGGGACTGTCAAGATGGTTCATAAAACACAGCCTTGGGATGCTGGAATGAGGGGAGGTTCCAGTGCTGCCCTTGGTATTCAGCATGTGGGAATTTTCAGTAGCT